ACGATGGAGGCAAAGAAACTTTTGCCCAGGAAGAATCACAAACTTAGAGTAAGAATGGACATTCAGGGCTGGGGGCAGGCAGGCAGACCTTCCATGACGTTCCTGACACATCAGCCAGGTTTGCTCCAGAAGGTTTGATGGATGGAAACTCAGACCCTCCTGAAACCCAGCAATGGCCCAGGCCCCACTGCATACAGAGTCTGTTAAGATGTTTAAAGCTGGGCTGTCCAACAGGGTAACTGCTGCCACTTGTGGCAATTGAGCGCTTGAAATATGACTTGGCTGAAAAGAGAAGTGCTGTAAATGTACAAGACTCACCAGTTTTCAGAGAAGTTGAAAAACAGAGTGTAGAATAACTCAGCAGGAGTTTTTGAATATGGATTACCTATTGAAATGATAATATTTTGGATGCACTGGCTTAAATAACATACATTGTTCAACTTAATTTCACCACTTTTTCCTACTTTTTAAAAAGTGGCTATTAGAAAATTCAAAATGACATGTGTGGCTTGCATTACATTTCTATTGGAGAGATTGATTTAAGTATTTTTGCTGCTCTCCTCCCTCTCACAGGCTCAGAGACCAGACCATGAAACACCCCTCAAAGTTATTTGGCTTGTAGATCGCAGTGATGGAGTTTCGCAGAAAATGACTTTTCTTAGGCGGAAATCAGATACTCTAAGAAATAAAGTGCTAAATGACAAACCCCCACCCCACGGAAGAGTTCAGGGGGGTCTCATGATGGCTTGAAAGCACGTGGGCAGGTCTCTTCCTCACACTAGGTGACAACTTAGAGATCTGTCTGCACAATAGCAGAATGAGTAGATAATGTCTGTTTCTAAGTTTTTCCCATTTCAAAATGAGTTTGGCATTGATTACATTCTGTGATCCTCAAAAAGAACTCTGTGTATGTCCTTGTCAGGACCACAGATAAGCCATTCTGCAGAGAGGCAGAGACAGTGTTGATGAACTCGGTCCTGTTGGTATAAGCACCGTGCCTCACCTGTTCCGACCCCTGTCAGAACAATAAAGATGCAAATTAACTCTGAAGGACAGGTCTAGACAATGAAAAAAAGGCATCCTTGCAGACTGTCAGTGTAACATTGGGATTAGAAATGTTGCTCACATACATTTTCTCATTGAAGAATTCAGCTCAAGTTTTCATTATAGCCACTGGGGAGAATTAATTGACAAGTCTGAAAATAACAAAGGAAAACAAAACAGTGACTGCATGTTTCCCAATGTAAAAAACTCTAGTGAGTTTTAAAGTTGCTTTCAGCTGTTTAAGGAAATATCTCTCTCTCTCCCCTCCTTCAAATATGGAAGATTAAAAAGCCAAAGAAGAAAAAGAGACAAGAAGGAGAAGGAATTGCTTTTAATAAATCTCTCTTGTAGTCCCCGACACTGCAGACCCGTGTCTGGGAGGACGATTTCCCTGGACAGTGTGAACTGTGCGTTACGACGTGGGGCCAGGAAGGCACAGAAGCGAGCCTCATGCCACGGCAAGTTCATTTCCGTCATTAAAGCCAGACCAAAGCTGCATGAGCACACCGCATCCCGGACAATCATTCAGCCAGTGAAGTGTCATCGTGCTTTATATTTTTCCATTTCTCAATGATACTACCCAGAGACCAAGCTGAGGAATTCTTCTAACAGCTGGCTGCATTCTGCTCTAAAATATGTTTTCTATATTAGATTTGCTCATCAATTTGCTTCCCAGTGGGATGAATTTTTTTTTTTTCTTTTTTGTTGAAGAGGAAATACCAGTTATTTATAGCAACTGAAGGAAATAATGAACGGTTGCATGCCACCAAGTAAACAGCTCTATAAACAGTCATTTCGACATCAGTAGCATGAGATGCTCAGGCAGACTGGGACCCTAAGCTAGGTCAGGTCATCTCGGGAAAGCTTACAGGCGATTCTCTCAGCCTTGCCTGCATGAAGGAATTTCAATCCAGAGACCACAAAATGGTGCAACGGGCGATGCCAGTCATTTTAGGTCTTTATTCAGAGCAATCCTACTGTCAGATCTCAGCTGTGCCAGATGCCTTGTCAGACACAACTCCCTTTGCTCGCCTTTACACATAGGATTTAAACAGTGGTTTGGAGGATCTCATTTTAAAAAACACTGTCAATAATTTAAGGCTATTTTATTTGGTCTTTCTATTTTTTCTCCCTTTTCTCGGTTGTGGAGGGTGAGGCGTGGAGCACTGAGAAATACTACTACTTAATATGCTATTTGTCATCTTCTAACATGTGACAAAAGGTTGGCAGCTCTTTGTTCCTATGGAAGATCAAACACAAGTGAGGTCTTTTTATAATAAAATTCAGGGACTAATAAAAATTCATTCCTTGCTTTGTAAAACAAGGACAGGACAGGTCAAAAAATTTTTAAAAGCAAACACCACAAGAACCTCTGCAGCTTAGGCCTATTCTGAGGTAATTTTTTTTTAATCTTTAGGAGGTCTAAAGATAAAAAAATAAAATAAAATAAGAAGAAGAAAGATTAAGATCAAGACAGAAAGGGAAAGAGAAGGAAAATGAGAAGTCTGGACACACACAAAGGGATAGACAGGCATAGACAGAAGCAATTAGACTGTTTTTCGTTTGTTTTTTGCTTTTAAACTTCAAAAGTTTTAAAAAGGCTATTCTCTCATAAAATTCTGAGTTTCACAGAATTTTAAAAGTTAGAAATTTTCAGAACTTAGAAACTTCCTGTCAACATTGGAGGTGGAGCTTTGTTAGCTGGGACTGCACAGTCTTTTAACATGAAAGAGTGCTTGCTGTAGCACAGTGGCGCACGATGATGTGGGAGACGTGGGCCAGAGTCCTTAGTGCTGAAGACCCTGCTCAGGAGTCAATCTTAGTAAGACCCCTCCAATAGGAGGGGGATTCTACACCTCCTCCGTGCTCTGTGTGTGCCTCTAACTCCCTCCGGATTACAGTGTGTCTCTCTCCCTGGAGACCGTAACCCTCTCAAGGGCATGAGCACGTCTTATTCTCACCGTCTCCACTGCTAACACCTTGCTCCAAGCCATGATCACCACCCATCTGCATTATCTCAAAAAACCTCCAAACCGGTCTCCCCCATGCCATCCCTCCTCTCACATTCCTCCAAGTATAATCTCCACACAGCAACCAGTGAGCCCGTGGCAATGCAAAGCAGTTTGCTGCTCCTCTGCTCAAACCCTTCTAGTTGCTTCCTTCCTCACTCTGAATAAAAGCCAAAGTGTTTAGTGTGACCTACAAGGCCCCACATGATTTTCTCTCCCCTCAACCCTCCACTCCCATCCCCACGAGTCTATTCTGGCCAAGCTGACCTTCTTGCAGTTCCTCAAACACGCCAGCCATTCGACTGCCTCAGGACTTTGCACCTGTCGTTCCTCTTTCTGGAATGCTTTTACCTACCTGGCTTCCTCTCTTCCTTTAGGTCTCTATTCTTATATCGTTTTCTCACCCATCTAAAATTTCAATTCCTCAACCCACTGCCACCTCAGACATGCCCTAGCCTTCTACCTACCTTGGTTTTTGCCTTAGGATTTATCATCTTTGAACATGTATATTTTACTTACACATTTACTAAAATTTTCCTTATTGGGAAGTAAGCTTTATAAGGGAAAGGATTTTCTTCTGTCGTGTTCAGTATTGTGTCTCCAGTACATGGAATAATGTCTTGCCATGTAGAAAGTGTTCAACATATATTTGTAGAATGAACTAACTAATCCTTTAATTTTTGGCCCCTGGTACAAAGTTGATGCTCAATCAATGTCTGTTGACCTGTTTTTGGTCTGTTGACCAAGTTTTGCTAAATATCCAGTATTCTTCATCAGCAAGTATACTATTCCTGTCTAACTCACCAGGTTGTATATGAAAACACTCAGAAAACCCATAGGAGTGTTAAACGGTGTGCTTTTTAAAACTTATTTCAGTTGAGTGATTAGGACTAACTCACTCCAAAATGTATCAGTTTCAATGACCTTCACATTTATTTTACAGTGTGAAGCTCCTTAACCCCCATCTTTTCTACTTTTGGGGAGTATTTTTTTGGGTGCCAATATAGATGTGAATCACAAACACTACATCTAGAAAGGGTGCAGATCCATTATCAAAGGAAGTAATTTAAAAAAAGGTGTAGAAATACATATACTGTTTACATATGGCTGCTTATATACATATACATATACATATACATATACCTATATATATCTATGATGGAAAAATCCTTCAAGAAAGGCTAACTATTGCTCAATCACTTTTTTAAATCAAAACCTAAAAGGATATCCTCTAAATCTGTGGTCCCCAACCCCCAGGCTAAGAACCAGTACTGATCTGTGGCCTGTGAGGAACTGGGCCACACAGCAGGAGGTGAGCGGCTGCAAGCTAGAGAAGCTTCATCTGTATTTACAGCTGCTCCCCATTGCTCGCATCACCACCTGAGCTCTGCCTCCTGTCAGACCAGCGGTGGCACTGGCTGCAGGAAAACAAGCTCAGGGCTCCCACTGATTTCGCAGTATGGTGAGTTGTAAAATTATTTCATTATATATTATAATATAATAATAATATAAATAAAGTATACAATAAATGTAATGCTGAGTCATCCCAAAATCATCCCCACCCTCCTACCCCACTATTCCATGGAAAAATCGTCTTCCATGAAACTGGTCCATGGTGCCAAAAAGGTTGGGGACCACTACAAATGATTTAATCAACACTTTGCACCAAGGGGTAAAATATTTTCTGGACACTATCCACTATCTCAGTTTTCCTTCTCATCACGGTCATAATGAAACACAGCGATGGCCCCTAAAAGTTACCCCCTTTAACATCATCAGAACATGAAGATATTTTGGAAAAATTTTTGCTTCTTTACTATTAAATACCTCATTTTGTCCTGCAGCATGGCCCATGTGAACTCTTCTTCAAAGCTAACAATTTCTCAAGTGTCAAAAATAGACAATATACCCATATTTCATCATTTTGGTACATTCCAAGTCACCTACCAGGCATAATAATATTAGAAAATCCCAATTTCCTTGTTATGGATACTCCATGAGAAAATACTGATGAGTATTCTCTTCTGATTTGTTCAATGTCTCCGTGTAACAGCTGCAGGGAAACTGCTAAGCCTAAAACAAAAGAGAGATACTCAAGTTAAAAACAGAAGAATAGAAATAGCATAAAGGAAACTAAAGTGCTTCAACAAGCCTAAATTTATAGTATCATTGTTCTAAACTAAGGGTTAATATTCAAACAAAAAAAAAATCAATAGAATCTATAGGAATAATTACCTGAACAACACTTTCGACTTAACACCTGAATGTTCCCATTTATAAGGAGGGGCACAGCAACTAGAGAAAACTTGAGCAGAACACTAAGGAGGGGGAGTCTGGCTTCCAGCCCCCAAACCCTGCCCCACGGCCCCCATTACGTAGAGCACATCCTTGCACCAACATTCATTCCATCAATAGGCGAAGGCTCCCAGGCCCTAAAAGATACTGATATCGAAATTGGAGGTTTTTTCCAGCTTTATAAGGCCTAAGAATAATTACTTATCAAATATCAAAAGCATATACAGAAATCTGAAAACACATAATAATTTAAAATTTTTGAGAATATCAAGAGATTTTCTTGAAACGTAAGAAACAAGGGTGAATCTAATGAAACCATAATTATATTCATAATACGTACAGTAGAAACTCATGATGGCATTATTGTCAACTGAGGAGAATTTAGCAGGTTGCAGGATACTTTGACAAACAAAAGGGAATTTATTCAATAAAACAGGAAAATTATCTGTTTTTTTTTAGTCTGAATTATAGTGACATTACCACACTGGGATATATAGAAGATGTTTGACACTTTTTTTTTCACACATTATTTTCCCAATACTCAGGCAAGAACTTCAAAAAGGAAATTAATGCCATATCTCTGTGACTATGTTTGTATGTATATTTCAAAGATGCTACTTCTCTTTCAGTGTTTTCATTCTTTCTTCCTTTCTTCTTCTTTTGTTTTAAAAGAAAGACAAAAAAGTCCCTAACCTATATCAGTGGCAGCAAATGAAACCACTCAAAAGTGACTTATTCTAAAACACTTTCAGTCATCATTAACCCAAACTCAATTTAAAGATGAATTTGGATAGCAGAGTACAGAAGATGACAAGCCTGTTTCTCAGAGATCCTCAGTCTCTATCATCGCTGAACTACCCCCTTTCCCTCCATAATGCACAGATCATGTTCAGGTTGTCACTCTCATTCATAATTTACAGCATTACAATGCTGTCCAGAAACAAAGGCGCAAGAATGACAGCAACCACACTGCAATGAAAAAGAAATGCAAAACTTACTTGCCACACATCTAGATGAGGAGCTTCCTTTTTATTCTCCTTCAATATCAGAGCAAACAAACAATAACAACAAAAGCAGTGTTTTGCTGGTTTGTTTGCTTGCTTTTCAATAGAGTGATTAAAACATCAGAACAATTTGTTAAAAAAAAAAAAAAAAAAGCTATATGCTCAGAGAGAAACTGGAGCCTCTCCTGAGGTTCAAATCTGGCTAGATGAGGCATGCCGAGGGACAGTAAACACAGAAAAAACACAGAAAAGGATGACAGGGTACATGATTTTGTCCTCACACCTTCCTGCATGTGCATCTAACAATGTCTCAGAGAGTTATTCTGAGAATGACACCAAGTCTGGCAGGTTCTCAGAAGTTGAAATCTGTATTCCATGTCTACCTAACTACCCCAATCTCCTTCACCGCTTTCACCCCCTCCACTTTGGGTTGGGTGACTGATGGCAATAGAAAGGAGAGGTGTCTGTCCTTCCATGACCACATGAAATGAAACAGGGGAGAATAAGCCATCTAGATGATCTGATGGAGACAATTATCAGTGTAGCTTTCAGACTCTTTATGTCGTACTATTGGTTTCTTTTAATACCAAGAAGCAGGAGAATTAAGACAGATTAACATGTGTTCTTATGCATCTGTCCCAGCAGCTATTTCTTCCTGAATCCTGTTTTCCTACTATCTCCATCTCATCACTGATGTCTCTGTTCTCCTCCCACTTCTGTCCTTCCGTCCTTCAAAATACTCACCCACACCATCACCATCATCATTAGCAAAATCAAGCAGCTGGTATTTATAGAATACCAGTGTGTGCCAGACACAGTACATAATAGTACCTTCCTGCTGGTGCATACCATATAAGCAAATCCTGGTATATACCATATAAGCAATGCTTTCCAAGAGAGAGTAAGATGGGTTTAACAAAATTCTTGAGATCCTATGATTTTTGCAAGTGAAGATCATTTTATTGGGACTTCTCCTTGAAGGATCTGATCAGAGACACTAGCTACATTATGTGGTATGTACAAAAGAAAAAGAGAAAAGAACTCAACATTAATGAAAAAAACAAGGAGATCATGCTATTCAGGGTAGAGGGTTGGAGATAGGAATATTGGCGAGGATTCTTGTTTTGTCCTATCGCTAATATTCATTTAACCAGCAGTGACCTTTATTTTTTTTTTTTAAACATAAGCTGAATACTGTTCTTTACAGAGAATATAGGATAATAAAAAAAGAAAAGAAAAGAAAAACAGTTGGTCAGAGACAACATGAATCCCAAGGAGAACTGAAGAAGATAGGAAAGAAAGAAAAAATATGTTTTAGGGAAAGACACAGATGGAGGGAGAGTAATAATGAACAAGAAATACATCAGTATTCTGTAGACAACAAGAGCCACAGAAATGAGAAGAGTGCAAAGGACAGAGAGGACCCATTTAGGAGACAGCTGAGAGGGGCTGGCTGTGGACAGTGGAAGAGAATGGAGAAGCGATGGGAAAAAGAGACAAAACAGTGTGGGGGGAAAGGAAAAGTAGGCATTTAGGAATTGGATGCATACTAAAATTTTTATGGATATGGTAGTTTTCAACCTAAACATTTAGAGAAAAATAGATTAGAGCCTTAAGTGTAATTATTACATTTGTCTAGCTATGTGATAATAATTTAGGGGGTATGTGACTCAGTTTCTCCAGAGTGAAGAAGCCACAGTTAAGAATTGGAAAGGTCAACTGGACAGAGGGCTTGACCATATGCATGTATGTGGCTTTGGCCAAATCATCAGTTCTTTTCCATAAAGAAACCACAACACTTAACTAAGCAACGTCAAAGAATGAGTGTACTTTCAATGGGACAAAGAAAAAACATGCTACTGGTGGTGAGTCCACAGGGACCAGCCCACAAAGAGCCACTGCAATTCTATTTATTTTTCAATCAGGGAAACTCCTGATCCTATTTTTACAGCGGTCCTTAATCATCATGACCACAATCAAAAGGTTGGATAAATGAACCACTAGAACAGTAAGAAATAACATATTAAGATCAAGAAACTACTCATCACTACAAAGGAGAAACTCAGAAAATATTTACACATTCCTTCTAAAAAAGTTGACCTCATAGAAGCAGAGGGTAGGATGATGGTTGCCAGGGGTTGGTGGGGGTGGGAGGGCTGAGGGTGGGGGAGAGTGGACAGGGAGATGTTGGTCAAAGGGTACAGAGTTTCAGTTAGGATGAATAAGTTCTAGAGATCTATTGTGTAACTTGGTGACTATAATTAATAATAATGTATACTTTAAAATTACTAACAGAGTAGATCGTAAATATTCTCACAACAAAAGAAAGTGATATGTGAGATGATGGATATGTTAATTAGCTTAATTTAATCATTTTGGAATTTATACATATATCAAAACATCACATTGTACACCATAAACATATATGTTTCATTTGGCAATTACACCTTAATAAAGCTGGGTTTTAAAAGACAAATATTTACACATTCCAAATACCTGAGGACTAACCCTAGCCTTTGAGGGCTAATCATTTATGATATAAGGTATATTCACAGAAGGGTATTTTTCTTTCCTTTTTCTTCCAGGTCATCATAATCCATTGTCCTGGCCTTACCTGCTATCTTTGGGGATGGTACAACTTCTAAAGATTGTATCTGCACATGTTACCTTATTCCTGCCACAATTCAAAATGGACAACTCAGGAAGCAGTAACTTATGGCTTGAGAAGAAGGTGGAAGATGGTATATAAGGATGCATAAAGTGGGGTTCCTGCTCCTAAGGAACTGATAATCTAATGATGAAAGAAAGACACACATATCCAAATAGAATGTAAAACAGAATGGGTTAAGTGTATGATAGAAATATTAAAATAAGGAAAAATTATTACTGAAAGAATTTGAAAGCTTAGGGAAGAATTTTTTTTTAACAGATTTATGACAACCTGTAAAATAATCTGAAGAATTAGGTTAAATTTTTAATTTCAAAAAATATATACATAATGCTCTACAACCACTTTTTTTGGCCCTTAATATAAGTGCCAAAAGTAAAATTCCTATGGAGAGGCCGTGCGTGGGCTCAATGCCGTAATCCTAGCACTCCTGGGAGGCGGACGGCGGGTGGAATTGCTCAAGTCAGGAAGTTCAAAACCCCGCCTAGCGAGACCCTGTCTCTACCATAAAAAAGAAAGAATAATTGGCTAACAGAAAAAAAAAAAAAAAAAAAAAAAAAAAAAAAAAAAAAAAAAAAAACAAAAAAAAAAAAAGAAAAAAAAAAAAAAAAAAAAAAAAAAAAAAAAAAAAAAAAAAGAAAACAAAAAAAAAAAAAAAATACATATAATATATATATATAAAATCAGCCGGGCATGGTGGCTCGTGCCTGTAGTCCCAGCTACTCGGGAGGCTGAGGCAGGAGGATCCTTGAGCCCAGGAGTTTGAGGTTGCTGTGAGCTAGGCTGATGCCATGGCACTCACTCTAGCCTAGGCAAGAAAGCAAGACTCTGTCTCAAAAAAAAAAAAAAAAAAATTCCTATGGGAGAAATATTCCCCTTATCATAATAGAAGAGACATAATCATTAAACTGAATTTTCACATTCAGCCTAGAGGTTTAAGCCCCAATTGTAAGACTTGACATTTTTTTTAAACAAAGGCATAGTCATTAATTAATCTGGAGTCTGTCACCAGAACAACATGTTGTTCATGATTAAGCTCAGCTTACAGAGCAGTCATACAGGAAGTAAAGCCTTGGTATCTGTTAAATCCAAATATGGTTGATTAC